TCCGCAAGGATGCTGTGTACCGCATGGGTTGAAGATAGTTTGTATGAGAGCGGAATGTAATGATATCATGATAGTCGCAGCTGAGTGCGGTGTAAGCCTGTCAATATGACTGAAATATATAAAGGTGGCGAGGTGACTTGGTTGTTGCTATTCTCTGCTTCGCTGATGTGCCGCCGTCTTGGGTGGTGTTGGTGGTCTCTTTGATGCCCTCTGCATCTTAGGCAGAACGATCTAGGAGCATCTCGCTTGCCAACTTGGCAAGGCCAGAACGGATCCTAGGTGATGGCTAAAAGACCGATGCAACAGAGGACATATATAGTATCCAACGGGTCTCCGACATCATTTCCATTACACGGGCAGAACCGCCACACGTAGCCGGTCCTGCCCGTGCATCCAGACTCCAACCGCATACCTCATAATCGAACGGAGGTAAATCTCCTTGAGGATTCCTTCGAGTCACAATCTCATAGCCAAGCCTTGAATATTATCTCGTGCGAAATAAGACGGCTCATCTCTCTCAATTCGTACGTACCATCGCTAGGCGGAATGCAGTATGGAAGCTGATTTATCTAGTTAGGTGCGGGAAAAGTGTATGCAATGGCCGTCACCCATTTATTCGAGACACAAGATCGCAAACACCAAAAGACAGGATACGGCACGTCGGTGACCGAAATTGTCACCAGAATCATTGAATAATCCGCACCTCATGGACAGCTCCTATTCGGCGCGTGCACAAACCAGGGGCCTCTGAAACGTGACGGAGCATCGTGGTCGGGGTCGGACAATTTAACCACAAACCCTAAGCAAACGTGCCAGAGCGATTCAGACGTTCTCTTGGCAATTGCCCGCTACCAGGCCCATCGGTCTCATCCCCCGGATCCTCGCTGATGGTCCGATAGGACCAGACTCCATCGCAGATCGGTTGACACCTCTATCCTCGGCCTATTGCCCATGGTGACCAGGGGGGACGCGGCGCCAGCGAACACCAGCCCCTGTTTGAGATCAGACGGCAAAGCGTTTCAGCAACGGCCGCCTCGAGGCTTGAACCTTTCCCTCCGCGATGCCGTCGCGGCAGCCCAGGCCTCGTCTCCTGTTTGACAACTGGGTGCATGAGGCATTCGTGAGGCAGAGCCCTGCCGAGCTCGTGTTTGCCAGGCGTCGTGGCTCGCCAGGCGTCGTAGCTCCGAGGCTCGAAGCCTGGGGTAGCGAAGGAAGCGGGAACAGACGAGGCGCCGTCGCGAGGGCGATCACATATAAGCTCGCCATCTGATCGTCCCAAGTCGAAATCGCAACATCACTCTCCACGCACTCTCATTCGCTCCACTTCCTCTTTCCGTCTTCTCTTCGACCAACCCGGCTGGCCCACCTTCGTTTTTGACCCTCTTCGACAGAGCTTCCACGTCCCCGTCTTTCTTTCTTTCGTTCTTCTCAACCATGAAGTTCTTCACGCTCCTTACCATGGCCACAGCCGCTTGTGCTGCCACCATGCACGCAAGCCACGCGAAGCGGCACCCCAAGAGACACGCCAGGAGGCACGCGAAGCACCAGTGCGGTGCCGGCGGAGCCCCCGGCGGAGCCCCCGGTGCTGGTGCCCCGGCCCCCATCTTCTCTGAAGAGCCCACAGCTTCATCGCACCTGAAAATTTTTTATTTCGCCATGATGTTGATTGATTTTCTTTTTTATTTTTATGGGTCGAAGAATTAATTGACCATCAAAGGGAAACCTCAAAAGGAAAGCAACAGCGAATTACTAGATATTTAGTTCGCCAATTGTTTTGTGTGGCTATCTCAAGTCCTATTGACAGGATATTACCGAATATTAAGAACTTTTTTTCAGGTGTTAATAGTGAACGGTAGGCGACAGGGAAGT